TCTTCTTTCTTCGCTTTTAAAACTTGCTGTAAAACCATTCTTTGCAACAGTATCGCCATTGTTCATTATTTTTGAAAAACTAAGGTTTTAAACTTGAAAAACTTTGCGAGTTTTTGGCCGATTTTCTTGCATGATACTTGCGTTTCGTGGGCGTGTCATCGTTCTGGGCGAATCGGCTTTTGCAATCTTGTATCACATGACTAATTCAAATCATCATAGGCGGGAAGCAGCATTACGTCATCCCTATGCCAAATAAAACGTTATAAAACGCGTCGAGGATACGTTTGTGCCATATATGGAAGTTATGGATACGTTTGTGCCATATATGGAAGTGTCACTGCATCCAGCTTATGACAACGATGTTCCTACCCTCTTATTTCTCCTTAATTTTTCTCGCTTGCTTATTATTTTGCCAGGAGGGGCGGCAATGCCGTGGCAGCATGTAGATTGGGACGAGTAAACATGGCGATGGCAGACGAAGCAGATATGGAATTTGTTTCGAATATTAAAGAACTATTTATGAAACAAAATAAGAAGTTATGAATATTCTGATCTTTTAAACATAATTATATTGCATGAGTAAGTATAATACCATTTCTAACTTTCTATTTAACAACACTACACCTGTCCTATTGCCCGTGCTCTGAGTTAATTAAAGATCCTCTTAATATAGCCAACAAATTCAATGAATATTTTGTGAATGTTGGACCAGAACTGGCCAAAAAGATTACTGAAAATGATAGTCAAAAAACATTTGAGCACTATCTCACTAGTAATTTCTAAGTAGTTTCTAAGTAATTTCTACAAAATTTTTCAAGCTCGCCTGGTGTGGATATACACTCAGAGTAACATCACAAATATCATATTCACCTGAGTACACAACATCAACACAGAAAAATTCATAATACTAGATTACATTGGTATCGAAGGAACTAGATTCTGTTCCGAAATATCACTTACTCGAACCGTGCTGACCGCGTAGCTCAGTTGGAAGAGCATTTGGCTGGTATTCCAAAGGTCGTAGGTTCGAATCCCACCGTGGCCGGGCATATTTTTCAAGCTCGCCCGGTGTGGATATACACTCAGAGTAACATCACAAATATCATATTCACCTGAGTACACAACATCAACACAGAAAAAAAAAGATAGCATGTTTCTTAAACCAATCACCAAAAATGAAATAGAATTAGAAATATCTAACATGAATCAAAATAAAAGTCCTGGATATGATAATTTTATAAATTTTGAACTAATATTAACTGCCAGCATTATTTCTGACCCTCTTGCTCATATATTTAATTTGACTTTCCTAAATGGAATTATCCCTGATAAGGTAAAGATAGCATTAGTTACACCTATTTTTAAAGCTAATGAAAAAAATAAATTTAACAATTACAGACCTATATCTGTTCTTTCATGTTTTTCAAAATTATTAGAAAAACTCGTGTACAAAAGATTAATCAACTTCATAGAAAAAAACAAGATATTATCAAAACATCAATATGGGTTTAGACAAAACAGATCAACAGATTTTGCAATTATTGAACTTTTAGATAAAATTACTAGAGCAATAGATAAAGGAGAATACACTATTGGTATATTTTTATAGATTTGTCCAAGGCTTTTGACACAATTAATCACAGGATTCTGATTAAGAAATTAGAATGTTATGGCATAAGAGGAATATCTCAACATTGGTTTCAAGATTATTTAACAAATAAAAACAAATTGTAAAATACAATCAGGTGAGATAAAAAGAAATGACAATCACAAGTGGAATCCCCCAAGGTTCCATTCTGGGACCACTCTTGTTTCTTTTGTATATAAACGATATACAGCATTGCAGTAAAATAGTTTCATTTATATTATTTGCGGATGACACAACGATATCTCATAGTAACAAATGTCTTAAATATTAAAGGAAATTATACAAGTTGAAATTAATAAAGTTTTAGAAGAATAATTAAATTAATAAAGTAGCTGAATGGTTAAATATAAATAAATTATCTATAAATACTTCAAAAACAAAGTTTATTCTATTTAGATCTTATAACAAAAAACAGATTTTTGATATAACAATAGAAATAAACAAAGAAAAATTAAAACAGGTAAAAAATACCACATTCCTTGGTATTGTTATTGATGAATGCTTGACATGGAATGAACATGTGGATTTAATAGCAAAAAAGTTATTAAATCTGCTAGAGTAATAGCAAAAATAAGACATTTTACAAATTTAAATGCTCTTAACAGGGGCGGATCCAGCTCCTGAGCTGACTGATGCATACATAAGACCTCACATTTGTAGGGGGGTCCGGGGGTATCCTCCCCCAGGAAATTTTGAAATCTAGGACCTCGGAAATGCGATTTCCTGCATTCTGAGCGAACTCTTTTGTTGCAATTCCTATATCAGAGTCACAAAAATTTTGCTGCATTTTTGGAAAAACACGTAAAAAACTTGAACCTATATCGCAAAAAAACCATAATTTCTCCACATAAGAAAAACATTTTTGCTTGTAAAAGTGTAATAGCAGCAGTGGCAATAAGTCTCTATTAAAAAATAGTCAGTACTGTGCTTCTTGTAGCCTTAACGTTTCTATTGAAAAACATTTCGGCAGAAAATCACGACAACGCAAATACACACATACTCTGTAACAAAGGTGTATACAGTGTGCTCCACTAGTTGCATTGCTGGACTCAGAAGACAGTGTTATTATGTTGTTTATGAACCACCTTCCCCTATTAATTTCCAATGTTCCATGAGTAAAATCTTCTAGCATTAGAATTTAAAGTAAAATAACATATCATGGTGCATAAAGATTAAAGGTATTTTGTGCTTTACTGGGTAAATATATGCAACTCTGTCTTATGCTGCTAATCTTACTCTGCATGGACAGTGTGGTTGGCATCAGCTGGTCAATTTCATTTGCCCCTAGGCTAGCTGCCTTTCAGATGAACTGCATGGTGAATAGCCCACACTCTGAATACTGAGAATATTGCCTTGTGGCGAGGAAACCAGTAAACTAACACACAACAAACACTGGGTTTAAAATTATATAAATAAATAACTAGGTACACACACGTTTTAAATCAATAGACTGTGTGTAAATTAATTTAATGAAGCTATCTTAATTGGAAATTGTTTGTTAAATAAACCAATACCAAACTGTACGATGATAAACATGACATAATTTAATCATATGTCTTCTATCTGTCCCCTTTTGCCTGCCTTTCAACTAATATTAATACAGTGCTCCTTTAAGAAAGGTTGCACGGTAGTATTGATGAATATTTAATTTTCCCTATATTATCTTGTCAAATATATCCATACACTTATCAATGGTAATCGTAATCCTCAGGGTGGCATGCTGGCTATCCAAAACATAATACTGGGATAATTAGTATTACAAATATATAATTTAATTAAATATATTTTCCAAACTATCCCACTTTTGTGAGCAAATTTCATAATTATAACCTGTATACACCAGTTACAGTATATACAGTATTTATACCGTCCATCATTTTATCATTGGTTCTAAGATTAAATCTGTCAGGAAAATGTCATATGATATATACAGCTTATATCAAATTATATTTGCACAGACAAAGCATATAAACACTCAACTATGGTAGGCGAGCAAACCCAGGTAATCATCTTTGTTTGCAAAATATCCAGCTAGTGTATAGTAATTGCCTAATAACTCAGGCAATGCAAAGAAAGACCCCGTCACAAGGCATTCCAGCTCATTTCCATATAAAATGAAAATGAAATAGGAGATACCACTGGAAGTTGCAACTTGAAACAATTACCTTTCATGTAAACTCCCCCTTAGTCTTCTAACCAATGTTGCATTAATTACTATTAGAAATCTCATTAACCTGCAAATATGCTCTGTAATTACATACAGGGACTGATGCTGTAATATAGCTAATTAATATGCTAATAACTAATCCAAATAGGAATAACTAATCAGTATTCAATATGTAGTTCACAAACACTGTAACACGTGTTTATCTCGTTTTATTGAGTCTTAAACACTACATTCTGGCGACGAGGATACACAATTGGAGTTAGTAAACACGTTTAGTCAATCTACAACGTCAAAACATCGAATTTCAAAGCGCAAATTCGTATAAAAACAAGATTTTCGTGTGACCATGAGGAAGCCATTTCGCGCCATTTTCACAACAACAATACATTTCGATATATTTTTCGTATAAAGTCGTTCGCCGTTTTCTACATCTATCCATGGCAGCTACTAGTTTCTCCTTGCCGACATTCCCGCCATTCGATGTCCATGCCGACAGAAATACTGGTCATCGCTGGAAAAAATGGCTAGGCCGCTTTGAACAGTTGCTTGTGGCGATGAATATTACCGACAAAAAACAACAACGTGCGATGCTATTACATTTCGCAGGACCGGCTGTTGACGAAATTTTTGACACCCTTTCAGACACTGGCGAAGCGAAAGACTACGACAAAGCGATAGAAGCACTCAATGCCTATTTCATTCCGCACGTAAACACGGCGTTTGAAGAATATAATTCCCGCCAAGCGAAGCAAAACCAAAGCGAAACCCTAGATGCCTTTCATACACGTTTACGTCAGCTATCGCAAAATTGCTCGTTTACAGATGTCGATAAAGAGATAAAGAACCAAATAATCGTTGGTTGCTCATCACAGAAACTTCGAAGAAAGGCTCTACATGAAGACCCGACCTTAAAGAACCTTTTAGACGCGGGGAGAGCCGAAGAAACGAGTCAAATACAAGCGCAATTCATGGAGAAACAAGAGTCAAGTCAAAATATCAACGCCATTAAGACGGGCGCTCTCGAGAAACATAACCCCTCGCCTCGCGACATGAGAAAACCACAAAATCAACGTCACAGCTCAAATTATCAAAGAAATTTCAACAAACCCCACACATCAACTTGCCGCAACTGTGGTTATACCTGGCAAGGTTTAGGATTCAATTTTTGCTGTAGTGTTTCTGTATTGTGCTACAAAACACAACAGATTAAGTATATGAAGGGTATATTGTATGTGTATGTACATAGCTAACAACCAATGAATGGTATGTTAGCAAAGAATGAGCTGATTTGTCAAACCATTTGTGGGGAATTTTGGAAAGAGCCTGAGGACGAGGTTATCTCATAATAAACTGATTAGCCCTATGAAAACCAATTTGAGCAAGACTTGGGCAAGTCTAGTACCCTGAGCAAGCAAAATATGTAGTGTATCATGTTCTCGGCATCGTGATCAGTTGAAGCTGAAGGCTTGAATAAAATAGTCAATCCCTTATGCTTTGTTCATTATGAGCAAGGTTTAATTTAGGAAAGTCAAGTTACCCATTGCTGTTGGCATTGTGTGCACATATTTTTGCATCATTAACAGATAAGACTAAGTGCTAGACTACTTAGCCTTATTGCTTTATATTAGGAATATTATACAACCATAGCCCATTGCTTTTGTCATAGACGTTCAGACAAACTCTGCAAAGTATACAACCTTTTTTTAGAGTGCTACAAAACGCTACAGCACTCTGCAAAGTATACAACCTTTATTAAAGTGCTATAAAACGCTACAGCACTCTGCAAAGTATACAACCTTTTTTTAAAGTGCTACATAACACTACAAAACTCTGCAAAGTATACAACCTTTTTTAAAGTGCTACAAAACACTACAAACTCTGCAAAGTATACAACCTTTTTTAAAGTGCTACAAAACGCTACAGCACTCTGCAAAGTATACAACCTTTTTTTAAAGTGCTACAAAACGCTACAGCACTCTGCAAAGTATACAACCTTTATTAAAGTGCTATAAAATGCTACAGCACTCTGCAAAGTATACAACCTTTTTTTAAAGTGCTACATAACACTACAAAACTCTGCAAAGTATACAACCTTTTTTTAAATTAAAGTGCTACAAAACTCAAGCAGCCTGAGTCCAACATCTTCCCCTACGGTACAAGTGTCCAGATACCCATTCTTGGAATGGTCATGGCTACAATTCAGTTCCAGTCCACAACTTTGGATGCCAATTTCTATGTTGCCAAGGGAACCGGTGGAAATCTCTTAGGTTGCCAAACAGCCGAACAGTTAGGAATTTTAAAGATAACCATTAACACAGCAGTTAGCTCTTACAACGCTCGCATTGAAGATGAGTTCCCGAATTTGTTCGGTAGTATTGGGAAGATAAAGAACACCCAAGTCCAGTTACATATCGACACCGATGTTACACCCAAACAGCAAAAACATTGTCGCATTCCATTCCACATCCGAAAGGACGTTGAAAAGGAACTCCAGCATTTAGAAGACCTTGATATCATTGAGCAAGTTGATGGTCCGACACCATGGGTCAGCCCAATCGTTGTGGTACCCAAGAAAACTGGAGAGATCCGATTATGTGTGGACATGCGTGAAGCGAATAAAGCAGTGCAAAGAGAAAAACACCCCATGCCAACTGTCGACGAGTTAATCACAGACCTCAATGGTGCCACAGTGTTTAGCACCCTAGATCTTGCCTCAGGTTACCACCAACTGGAGTTACACCCTGAATCCCGCCATATCACAACCTTTACCACTCACGTTGGACTTCGACGTTACAAGCGACTAATGTTCGGCATTAACGCAGCCTCGGAGATATTTCAGAATGCAATTGCAAACCTACTGGTTGGGTTACCTGGTTGTAAGAATATTTCGGACGACATCATCGTCTATGGTCGAGATGACAAAGAACATGATGAGAACTTACGAGGCGTGTTAAACCGCTTACAAGACAACAACGCCAAATTAAACGGTGAGAAATGTTCCTTCCGTCAGCACCAAGTAGTATTCTTTGGGCACACATTCAGCGCAAGTGGAGTTCAGGCAGACCCAAAGAAGATCGACATAATCCGGAATATGCAACCTCCAAGAAATGTCAGCGAAGTCAAGTCCCTTCTCGGAATGACACAGTACGTATCTCGGTTTATTCCCAACTATGCCTCCATCACAACACCCTTGCGTACCCTGACCCACCAGAACGCCAAATGGCAATGGCAAGCGGAACAAGAGAATGCTCTGAAAAAACTTCAACACGAGCTTACGAATGATCCTGTTATGGCTTACTTCGACCCTTCGAAACCAACCATCGTCATTGTTGATGCCAGCCCTTCGGGTTTAGGAGCACTGCTTACTCAAGAAGGCAGAGTTATCAGTTATGCAAGTCGTGCACTTTCCAGTGTAGAATCCCGCTATTCACAAACTGAACGCGAGATGTTAGCCGTTATATGGGCTATCGAACACTATCATCTTTACCTGTATGGCGCTAAGTTTATTGTCATCACCGACCACAAGCCGCTACTCGGAATCTTCAAAAGTCAGAAACCGACTTCAGCGAGAATCGACCGCTGGAAACTAAGACTGATGCCCTATGATTGCGAAGTTGTTTACAAACCAGGGAAAGATGCAGAAAACCCTGCCGACTTTCTCAGCCGTCACCCCAACCCTGTTGTTTCTTCGCCCACCGACAACACCACCGAAGCCTATATCAACTATTTGTGCATCAACCTCATCCCCAAAGCTATGAAACTCGACGAAGTGAAGAAAGAAACTGCTAACGACCCAGTCCTTTGCAAGCTTTCTGAAGCAATCACACACAACCGATGGCTCGATCCTGAAGTGAAACCGTTCGTTAACGTAAAGGACGAACTGTCTGTCTGCAATGGATTAATCGTCAGAAACCACCGCCTGGTGCTACCTCATTCACTGCAGAGCCAAGCCATAGATCTTGCACACGTAGGCCACCAAGGCATAGTCAAAACGAAAATGCTACTTCGTGAAAAGGTCTGGTTCCCCTCCATAGATAAGATGGTGGAACAGAAAGTCAAGACGTGCCTGCCGTGCCAAGCAGCAACCACAGGTACTTATCGACATCCAGAACCCTTGATCATGACACCGCTGCCCGACGCACCATGGCAAGATGTTGCTGTCGACTTTGTTGGTCCGTTCCCATCAGGTGAGCTGCTACTCGTTGCCATCGACGAATTTAGCCGATTCCCCGAAGTAGAAATTGTCACCACTACGAGCGCAAAAGCTGTCATCCCAAAGCTGGATAACATATTTTCCCGCCAAGGTGTTCCTGTTGTTCTTAAAAGTGATAATGGTCCGCCATTTAACAGCTCGGAATTTGAACAATTTGCCAGTTACCTTGGTTTCGAACATCGCAAAGTCACTCCGTATTGGCCAAAGGCGAATGGAGAAGTGGAACGGTTTATGCGCACCATTGAAAAAGCCATACGTACAGCACACATCGAAAAGAAGAACTGGAAACAAGCCTTGTATCAATTTCTCCGCCAGTACAGAGCCACACCGCACAGCACGACGAATGTGTCACCATCCGAGGCCCTGAACAATCGAAAGTTGAAGATACCACTTCCGAGTATTCCAAAAACTCAGCAACAAGAAACCCAAGATCCAATGCGAAAACGAGATCAAGAAAAGAAAGAAAAGATGAAGAAATACTCAGATCATCGACAACACTCGAGAACAACTGATCTGAAGATAGGAGACACAGTCCTGATCCGCCAACCAAAGAAGAACAAGCTTACCCCACCATTTAACCCCAAACCATTCACTGTTGAAGCTCGGAAAGGAACTATGGTTACCGTCAAACGTGGTTCGAAGAAGATAACACGCAACATATCCTTTTTCAAAAAGATTGATAATCGTGTAACGGATAGTTCAGATGACGAAGATGATGACGATTTTGATTGCGACCGAACCAACGAAGACCAACTCAATCAAGAACCTGTTCATTTACGAAGATCCCAGCGAGAAAGAAGACAACCAAATAGACTTGGATTTTGAACATTGAACTATCAATGACTATAGACACATATTGCATGTTATTAACAGTTGAAATTTGTTTCAGTTTAAATTCCTATTGTCGTTTCGGGCAGAGGAGACATTTTGAATAACATAACGTGAAGAACAGAGAACCTATACTAATGTGGGGAGGGATGTAATATAGCTAATTAATATGCTAATAACTAATCCAAATAAGAATAACTAATCAGTATTCAATATATAGTTCACAAACACTATAACACGCGTTTATCTCGTTTTATTGAGTCTTAAACACTACACCAATGGTGGCCAAGGAAGATTCAGTTTTGGTATTTCTTGCAGCATTGTATAGAATTTGTAAGTCATTGACTTTAGAATTTCCCTCAGTCTCTGTGTTGGAATTCACATCATCATAATCAATGGTACAGCTCTCTTCATCAAAGTCCTCATCATTGTTTTCAGACTTAGGGCCTGTTTATATGGAAGCCTGCCTGATAAGCGAGACAGCCTAGTAAGCGAGATCTCGCTGTGTAGTTATTTTTATAGTAAAAAGTTATTGTGTGTTTATATGGACAAGCGGGCTGGCCCGGTTGCAGAGATCTCGTTTGAAAGAGGCTAGATCTCGCTTACCGGGATAGAAATTTCTCCATATAAACATTTACAAGAGGGCTATTCCGGTCGCCGGGATGAAAGTTCAAAGATACCGCCGCAATCTATTTTTAACAACTGTCAAAACAATACAATGTAACAAAATCGTCCCGGCAAACGGGGTGAAAGTATCCCATATAAACACAAGAGAAATTCATCCCGCTTACCGGGCTGTGTCGCTAAGCTGGCCAGCCCGACTTCCATTTAAACAGGCCCTTAATTGACATATGTTCCTCAACCAATTCAGAAGAATCCAAATTTTCCACAAATACAATCTCACTAACATTTCTCATTTTCGGTACACAGAACACACGTTGGGGATAACTTTTCATCAGTCATTGCTTGAGTTTAAAAGCTCTATATTTGGATGCATCCACATTCTCAGTGTCCTTAGGAATGATAACAAATTTCTCCAGCAAATCTTGATTCTTTCATATACTTTATTTGCTTATTTCAGATGACCTCCATCTCAATTACTTTTTTACAGAATACATCATAAGACTTCTCGTACACTGATGCTCTTGTTGCTTCTTCGTCTCTCTGGTGAGAAATATTGTATAATTGCAGTAGCAAACTTTGTGATAGCGGATTTCCAGAGCTACGCAGTCTTTCCCCTGGATTTATATGAGTATCCGTTGATCATTCTTTCTCTCGGCAGCTGTACGTAGAAGACCAACATCAATTGTTTCTGCCAACATGAGTGGGGTTCTTCTCTTCTTAGGGGCTGTTCACACATAGCAACGTTGAGATCGGTCTAATTTTGGATCGATCTTGTAGCGATCCGAGATCGCGCGAGCCAAATTTAGTGGAATGTCCACACTTGCACAGAACTTTTGCAGTTAACGTACCAAATTATGGGGACTGGGGTCAAGAATCAAGATCAATTTTCAATATAGGTTAAAAAGGAGACAAAGAAAGTGGGAAAAATATTTCTTTCGCAGAAAGAAAAAAATGGCCATTTTATTTCTCAGACTAAGTGAAATCTATCTACGTCGAGAGACGGTGCTAAGAAGGTTCTGGCAAGAGCCAAGCAGAGGGAAAAGTTTATTTTGGGAAAGAACCGCAAGTCAGTGGGTCGATGACAATCTCTGGGTTGAAAATTTCCGCATGTCGAGAAATTCTTTTCTTGCAATCTGTAGAGAATTAAGCGAAGTCTTACACAAGAAAGATACAAGGTTTCGTAAAGCCATTACTCTCGAAAAAAGAGTAGCTGTTTGCTTGTGGCATCTTGCAACAGGCGAAGACATGAGATCTTTAGGCTGGCGATTTGATATTGGCAAGAGTACAGCTTGCCAAATTGTTAATGATGTGTGTGAGGCTATAGCTGTTGTGCTTTTACAAAATGTCATTAAATGGCCAACAGGAGAGGCATTGAAATCCGTATTAAAAGGGTTTAAAGAAGAATGGCAATTTCCACAGTGTGCAGGTGCTATAGATGGGACACATGTCCCAATTGCTGCTCCATCAGAATACCCATCCAATTATTATAACAGGAAGTGTTTCTACTCAATTATCATGCAGGCTGTAGTGGATCATGCATACAGGTAAACAATAAAAGTGCAAATAAGTTCATAACGTGCAACCTTTATAGTGTATGTAATCTACAAGATACTCTTTTAAATACTTTTAGATTTATAGACATCTATATCAAATGGCCAGGAAAGGTGCATGATGCTAGAGTGTTCTCTAATTCATCTCTGTTTCATAAGGGTCAACAAGGGCAACTTTTCCCCAACGTAAGTATGAGATGTGATGAAATTTGTTAAAGATATCATGGTATTATAACGTTTAGATGGATCCCATTCCCATAACCCTTTAAGTGGAATGCACCCTGATGTGCCCTAAAAGATAATACAGTTACCTTTCTTTAGTGGACAGAAAATATCGGTAATTGTGAAGTTCCAATTACCCTAATTGGAGATGCAGCCTACCCTTTGTTACCCTGGCTAATTAAGGGATTTCATGATGATGGAAATCTCTCACGAAGTCAAATCCAGTTCAATAGAAGTCTTAGCAGCGCACGTATGGTAGTAGAAGGAGCATTTGGCCGTTTGAAGTGTCGATTTCGTTGTCTTCTTAAGAGAAATGATACAAGCCTGCAGAAGTTACCTGTCAAAATTGCGGCGTGTTGTGCTTTACATAATATATGTGAAATGAATGGGGAAAAGTTTAATCCAGAGTGGCTTCAGAATGATGTTAATAATAATATCAACATAATTAATGATGTTCACATCCCTGACGCAACTGCCATAAACATTCGACAAGCACTAACTAATTTCTTTAGTGCACAAAATGCGTAACATATTAACAAAAACTGATGCATGCAAACTATAACTTTACAAAGGCTGCGTTTTGCCTTTTTGGTTCATAAAAACGTTAACAGTACCAAAATTATGTAATTAATATGGTCATATGTTTGATAAACTGTTCCTCTTTTATAATTTATTATAATTTATAATATGTTTTGGTGCTGTTTTCATCTTCAAAGTAAAACTGATTACTGAGAGGTTGTTGCACAGTTGGCTGCTGTCTGCTTGAAATGGCATTGGCCAGTAATGCCATTGAATTTGAATTTGAATTTTATTTGAATTTTATGAATTTGAATTTGAATTTGAATTTTTTTTATAAAATATAGACTTTGCAACCATGAAGGTTGAAATACATCTATCATTTACAGGGTTGGTTGATTAGAAAAATATTGTATATTTACAAAAACATATTTACTATAATATAGGAAGAGTTTAGAACTTCAAGTATGGTATTACCATAATATTTACAAATAAAAATGTATGTAATTTATAGTTACTCAGTGTTTATTATAAATCGTTACAGACGAGGGAATGTACGAATTTTTGAAGCGATTTGTCCGACAATTAATTGGAACGAGTTTATTCGATGTGCGTAGATTGTAGCTTGGATGTTCGGCTGGTTCAACTAGTTCGGAAAAAGGACTAGTTTGCGGAAGAACCTTTTTCCTAAAAAATTTTAAACATAACAGTTCGCGCCTAGAATACAATGTTGGGATATTGAGATCTGATAAGGATTCTTTGTATGATGACGATGGGTTAATTATTTTCAACGCTCTTGACTGGATCCTTTCTATTTCTTTGGATAGGTATTCAGGTATGTTATAATGCCAAACTTGGGCACAGTACTCCAAGATGGGTCTTACACATGAAAAATACACTGATATCAATGTTTTAGTGTCACAACAAGCTCGCTTGAGGAGTCTAAGCATGTAAAGGCGTTTTGCGGATTTTTTCACTATGTAAGCCACGTGGTCATTCCACTTTAGGTCGTCCTTGAAAATTAAGCCAAGGAGTTGAGCGGATTTCACAACTTCAATGGGCTGTTCGTCAACGATCATTGGAGGGAAATTTGGATTGTTTTCCAAAAACAAACGAGGATTTCTTTGCATTTACGGGGGTTTAAGGTGGCTCCCTACAGTTATTCTTGTTTAAGCAATAATTCCGTAGAACAGGCTTATTCGTGCAGAACGCGAATTCTTTTCGACTTGGTGGTAATATTGGTCACCTAAGGAATATTTCGAACTAGATTTCGACGATGTCAATGTTCCCATGGCAACATGACGACAGCATAAAGCCTTCCAATTTAACCCATAAATGTGCCGCTATCTCAAAAACGATGTCGGTGACCTATCTTTTTTATTTCATATATCAATAAGGAATGATGCTCTGCAACTGTGGTGAAAGTTTAAAAAAATTCTGTAGTGTGTGATTTTTTTAAAAGCGAAAAATTTATTGCGAAATTTCCACACTACAGATTTTTTTAAAATTTGAAATTTATAGAATTTACCGCAAAATAAATTCGTGGTCAAAATTTGAAGATAGGTCACCGATGAAACTAATAAGTAAAATGCAAATAAAGTTAGAAAATAGCCTCGTGTAACTCGAGAAATTCCCCTACTGAAAAGCGTCGCTGACTAGTAAAAGATTGTACGCGGGCGCAGAACGAGTTTTCATTCAGCAAAATCGAGCCGCAATGTTTTTACTGTTTTGTTTTTGTCAACTTTTCGATTTATTTGAGTGCTATTGGACAGCCAAGGATTATTGTGAAGGATTAAATCGATGAAAACAAGGTTGAAGTAACTGAATCCTGCCGTTTACTCAATCTATTAGCTGTAACAGCCTATTAACAGGTGGACGTGTTTTTTTGTTTCATGTTTGGTTTTGTACTTTTTGCTAAAAATGAACAATTAGGCTATGAAACTGAAATATTTTACCGTTTACATATAATCACTTTAATCTTGTAGAAACACGACTACGTTTTCTTGAGAAGTAAACAACTTTTTAAACGTTTGTATGCAATTTTGCAAATGTTTTACAGTTGACAATGTATATTTTAAAAACATTAAAAAACATTGTTTCGTAGCTATTTTTGGTCTTCGTATCATATGTAGAATTGCTGTATAGACTCGCAAGTAATTTGGCACTCAAAACGAAGTATTATTCAACGCTTTTTCCCATTAGAAACCTTTCAGAAATAGCTTTTTTTAAAAAAAATATTTTGTTTTGTTTTGATCATGCGGTTGCGTGGGATAATTCACGTACTGGTCCCGCGAACATCCCGCACGCAACTGTAGGGAGCCTCCTTAAGATTACAATGCCTCCTCTAGTGTTATTTATAATCTCTATGAATAAAACTTCATCACGCCACCAAAACTGAACATGTTTGTTTCAGATTCTGCACCCTAGGTATCCACAGTTACTCACATCTGTTCCAAACGTTCCTGTAGTTCATCAATTTCCTTCAAAATCGCCTCCTCAGACTGAATCTTAGCAATCTAAACATGCGATGATAAAACTGAGGTTTACATTATCAAAATATATCACAGTAGGAATTTTGCATGGGTATAAATTCTACGTTTTGAAGAATTTGTAAGAAATGTTTGAGGAAACTGACTTAGTTGTAAACATTGAGTAAGTTCCCTCAAACATTTCTTACAAATCCTTCATTCTACATTGATCACAGATGTTGTACTGTAAACCATCCTTCAGCCTTCGACTCTGCATAGTCACGTTTAAATTGCGTTCTTTGCAATTTAGCAAGAAGAGATAATTTATATAGAGAATAATACATGGGTGCGCGGAAATACCAGATTTATTTCGAGTGTTGAACATGTTTTCATCAAGACGAATGAGGACGAATCAAAAGCTATATGCACTGCAGTATTCGCCTCATTGTGTGCGTTATATCAGGTACTGGGGCCGTTTGTACGAAGGTCGGATAGCGCTATCCACCGCCGGATAGTGATTCTTTTTCCCACCAGATAGTGTTTTTTTTCTTTGTTAAATGCTTGAAAAACTGTGAAACTACGGATATAGACGACACAGGAAGTATAAAAAACATTCAACTTATAAATACTAAACTTTAAATGAGTTATACCAATCTACGACTGATTTAACTTGAAAAAATCACTATCCGGTGGATAGCGCTATCCGGCCTTCGTACAACCATCCCCCGAACTTCATCTAATACTATACTGTTTAAATAACAAAATTCACCAAAGAAAAAAGTATGAAATTTATACTTGTATAAAATAACTATTACAAAATATAACTTTTGGGTTGATGTATTACACATTCGAAACCATTCAAGCGATGCGGACGTTTCCGCTTCGGGACGAGTGTCGCCGTGTCGGACAAGCATGCACAGTGCAGTGGCGTAACTACTATGGTCTCAGACCGGGAGAACCCGGGGGCCCCCAACCCAAATGGGGGCCCCCAGGCCTAGGCGATAGAGCAAAAACATTGGTCAGGGCCTCTGATATGTTACAATGTCGTTTTATGACCATCAGAATTCTGTAAAGTCTCTCCCCAAAGTCCAGGAAATGGCATTTCAGAGAGTCTAGATTCAAAAATTTTCCGGATGAGCATGCCTTGGACCCCCTAGAAAAGTCGTGCATATACGGCGCACGACTCGTGCCTTTGGTACGTTTACTAGGGGGGCCTTCGAAAATTTTGAACCGGGGGCCCCCTGATATAACGTTACGCCACTGGCACAGTGTCGAGTGCTCGTGTGGTTTGCCACCCATCTTGGGCAGAACCCTGCATATAACCAAAACAGAAGTCTTATTTATACACTCGTGTGTTTTGACGCTTTGGCAGGGTGGACTGATGGGGCAGTCTATAATGGAACCAGCAACCATTTCATTTTAGATAGATCTAAAAATCACCACATTTATACAAAGTGCCAATTTGTTGTTGTGATAATTAATTAATGGACCTATTCCCTAATCTAGACAAACATTTCATCACAGCTTGAAAGAGCATCCCAAAATTAGTAATATTCCAAAGTTTCGTTGCGAAATGTTGTAAAATGCGGATAATATAGCACTGGGAAGTTTGCCATTTTTCAGTCATTTTGTATTACGCACGGGAAATTGATACCGCTTTCTCAAAAAAGGTATCAATTTCCCGTGCGTAATACAAAATGACTGAAAAACGGCAAACTTCGCAGGGCTATATTATCCGCATTTTACAACATTTCGCAACGAAACTTCGGAATATTACTAATTTTCTAATGCTCTTTCAAGCTGTGATAAAATGTTTGTCTAAACTTGTCTAGATCAAAATTTTGTTCATTAGGAATAGGTCCATTAAAGGGTCCTTAAGGACAAATAATTTACCCAAGGAACACAAACAGCGCCCATTTCCAAGGAACGACAGGAAGACGAAAGCACTTTGGATTCTCCCTTGAAGCTGCACTGTATCACACTGTATCATACTCGCGTTAAAGAAACAGTAATATGGGGGCACATGATTATGATGTTGAATCGGCATCTCGACAACAAAATGTCGGGGAAAAAAACGACATAGATTCTGATTTCGAACGTGTTCCGAAGGAGCGAAAGAAGCGTGCGAGATGCGTGTCGATAATATTATGTACAATTACAGCTATACTTCTAATCATTTTCTGTATCGTCAATCGAAATGTGGTCGAGTACTACCCTGATGCAACTCAGAAAAATACAACAAATGTTTGCTACAGAAAGGAGGAAAAGTTAACTTTTCCCGGCTTGTTCGCCACCGCGTTGGGTTTATTTGGTGTCGTACTCGGCACGTTGGTCGACCGCTTGTCGCTTATTACCGAAGAGTATCATCATCTACATCAACGCTACGACGGAAGTCGTATAAAGATGATAAAAGCTTGCTTCAGTGGAATCGTAAAGGGTCCAGTATTCGTTTTGCTAGGTTCGACCGTTATAATTGTCGTTATTCTTATTCTCACAACGGGCATACCATGGTTTGAGCTAAGCTATCTTGTGGATATTTTCGGGGGAATCGGCGTTGGCCCGCTTGTTATGCATTTGCTTCATCTCAACACACAATCCACGGTGCATATTTCAGCAATTCTTGAGGAAAAAGGGATGCGTCCGGGTTACACCCTTGCGTGGTCCTACTATTATAACTATCTCAGACATGCACTGCCAAAGTTTAAAGAAATAATAAATTGCCCCTATTCTGCTGACTATGAAAGCGTCAGCCTAAAAAAATTGCTGTTGCTCATACCATTTGATTGTTACACGACTGGCAATGTGGAAGAGGTAGACAGAAATATTACAAGAATATTTGACACCGCGGACAATCAGGAACCTTTCCATTCCTCTGTTTATCGTTTAACCGTCAGCGAACGTGAACAGAAAGTTTTTGCCATACAATACGTCAAAGAGCCTTTGGAAACTTTGAGAGAAATGAGCAACTCGGTACAAGCCAACGGTGTAAATAAACAAACTTGTGAAGAAGAAGTAAAATTGCTTTACGCAACACTGTTTCAAATATTAGAAGACCCACCAGACCAGGATTTTAAAGAGACGTGCGTACTCGTGCCAGTTATAGTGAAAGATCAGGAAAGTTTAAATAACGGTGGGCTGGTTAGATGTATCATGGATACAGTTCACCTTTCACGCGGTGATCCTCGTGGCTTCGTTGACGGCCGTGATCCTTGTAGTTTTGTGAAACCTAGAAATGACGAAAGCAATGATAAAAAGGAAAAGAAAAGAGGGAAAATATTGAAAAGCCAGTATAAAAACAAAAAACTAGAGGTAATGATCCCAGAAGAGAATCATGATCCTTCTCACACTAATCAACCTACCAGTAAACTTCAGCATTTGGCACAAGAGGACGGAGATGGGAATGATAGTGGTGCCATTACGTCATGGCCAAATGGTAGACATTGCAAATGGCCAAGGGAGCAAAGTGAACAGCAAGATGACCATTCTTCAAATAATACGCAACACCAGGCAGACTTGTAGTTTATGCATTATATTTTAGTATAGCCAAAAACGAGTATAGTCACAAGACAAACTCATAAACACGGTACCTGACCAACAAATGGATTCAAAATAAAACACAAATAATAATTAGCACATATCACAATATTTAGCAATTTTTCGGAACACCACGCAAAGCCACAAGTTTATCAGCTATGTTAACCAAATTATTTTATCAAATCCTAACGAGCAGTTTTATTATGTGATATTAGCTGCGCTTATTTTTATACCCCATTGTATATGATAAAATAGAAATATGCATTAAAACAAATTGAACTTGAACAATCATATGCATCAGGGGGGGGGGGGATTGAAACCCCCCAGCGAAAATCACAAAATGTCGGTCCCAGTTCTCTTTGCGACTGTATCAAAAGTCAGTCCCGATTTTTTGCTAAAAGAGTTCTTTAATCCATAAATGCCACAAATGTGCATGTGTAAATGGGAAGCTTTTAATTGTAGGAAACCGCTAACTGCGAACTTCAAATCGTATTTTGAGGTCAACTGTGTGAATGAATATACCGGATAGCTTTCCGTAACGGCGCGAAAAAGCATCTATCGAAATACGGAATATACAACTTTCAGAAGCTAAGCGAAACAACATCTCTCTGTTGCAATAATTCCTCTGAAAATAGCGTTCCTAAAAGGTACGGATAGCTGTTTTTTCACGTCGCTACGGAAAGCTATCCAATACAGTGTAAGCGTAGCCTTAGCTACTTAGCTATGAAAAACTTGTAGAACTTACCTATCACTGGGCCTCCACTACTATGGAAATAATAGATATCTATAAAGGTCCAGACACACCGGACGCGATTCGACAACGCGACGCGATTTTTTAGTTTTTGAAAGTTAATAAAACAGCATGCAATGAGAGCAAATTTTAAAAGATATGTAGAGCACATAAGTCATAACTCAAAATGTTATAGCGCTTCTATACAATCCAACGACAGTTCAATTACCTTAAAAAATTCATTAATAATTCACGAGGAAAATACAAAAGAAATTAATGTTTAATCAATGTTTGTAAATCGGATAAAGATTTGTCTTGATCTACATAAACTTCAGCTTTGGTTTTCTCGGCTTAGACAATGTTTATTTTTACTATTACTCAGTCGCCAATGAACTCATAAGATGGGTAATTTTTTAAGTACGATAAAACATTCGCATCCGATCTGTATCTGATATATAAACTCTCGCCTTCGGCTCGAGTTTATATATCAGATAGTACAGATCGGCTGCTCATGTTTTATCTAGTACATGAACCTTTAATAATAAGGTCACTTAGGTCAGACAGCACCCGAGAATACTGAATTCCTAGTCTGTTTAGCCAAACATTTTAAATAGGAAATTAAATCATCTCTATTTCGTTGGCACTGAAAAGTTAAAAGCATCATTCGTGTATCATATATGAATTTAAACTCGATTTGAACTACAACTATAATTTTATTAAAACGACCGAAATGAACAATTTTGTCTAACTAGCATAGTAGTGTGGTGTATGATTCAATCGACTGTTCGATTGTTTCTACTAAACCATGTTTCCCAAATCCACCCTTGCCAAACAAGGAAGCATTGAAAAATTGTTCCCTAGCATGTATTCCAAGCAAAGGTGGAAATCCCTGAAATTCCCAGCGATGTTTCCCGAAAATGAGCAAACCATGTTTCGTAAAGGTGGACTAAACATGAAACCACTGTTTCCTAGCCATGTTCCCTGGCGTTGATCTTTAAAACCATTCTCAAATGGGCTCTATACCCGACATTTACAATATAGTAATTGCGTCATCTATCCACTCCCCTTGAGGAAAGGCACACGTTTCCGCAATAAAACTTCAGCACGCCACCAAAACTGAACATGTTTGTTTCAGATTCTGCACCCTAGGTATCCACAGTTACTCACATCTGTTCCAAACGTTCCTGTAGTTCATCAATCTCCTTCAAAATCGCCTCCTCTGACTGAATCTTAGCAATCTAAACATGCGATGATAAAACTGAGGTTTACATTATCAAAGTATATCACAGTAGGAATTTTGCATGGGTAAATTCCACGTTTTGAAGGATTTGTAAGAAATGCTTGAGGAAACTGACTTAGTTGTAAACATTGAGTAAGTTCCCTCAAACATTTCTTACAAATCCTTCATTCTCCATTGATCACAGACGTTGTACTGTAAACCAGCCTTCAACCCTCGACTCTGCTCACGTTTAAATTGCGTTCTTTGCAATTTAGCAAGAAGAGATAATTTATAACACAGTCTTTTTCTTTACTTATATTACCTGAAGATCTTCTAATACTTCTCCTTCGTCCTGTTTGGATTTCAGTTTCTCAATTTGCTGTATTTTTTTCTTTAAACCACGCAATTTCTTCTCCGCATGTTCCTGTGTGTTTTGACAGTCTATACTTCCGGAATCTTCGTTCGCGGCAGCCTGAGAATGTTCAGTATTCTCTCCGGGCCTACAGAAAATAATGTGTAGTGCTTTGGTTTACTTGACTGTTGTATATATAGCTGCAAGCTGCTCTACTTAATGTTCAGAGTAACTTCTACTCATCAAGCATCATTCATATCTCATAAGTTCATCTTTCTTATCGGCAAATATCATTCGGATCTTTAAGATTATGTTTTCATCAAGACGAATCAAAAGCTATATGTACTGCAGCATTCATTCAGCATGTCATTATAGTACTGGGGTCGTCATTGTGTGCATTATAGCACTGAGGCAGGTTGTACGAAGGTCGCGCTATCCACCGGATAGTGATTTTTTCAGCCTTTGTATAAAAATGCTTGAAAAACTGTGAAACTTCGGATATAGACGACACAGGAAGTATAGAAAACATTAGTGACTTTTTTTTCAGGTTGGTCTTCACATGGAACTCATGTCCTGTTGACCATACCTTCAATCATCGTTATAATTTTGTATGATTGTAAAGTTAATAAATAAATACTAAACTTTAATACGAGTTATACCAATCAACGACTGATTTAACAAAGCTTGAAAAATCACTATCCGGCCTTCGTACAACAGGCCCCTGAACTTCATCTAATACTACTGTTTAAATAACAAAATTCACCAAAGAAAAAAGTACGAAATTACTTGTATAACATACATATTACAAAATATAATTTTGGGTTGACGTATTACATATCCGAAACCTTTCAAGCGGTGTGGACATTTCCGCTTCGGGACGAGTGTCGGACAGCAGTGTCGAGTGCTCGTGTGGTTGCCACCCATCCTGGGCAGAACCTTGCATATAACCAAAACAGAAGCCTCATTTATACACTCGTGTGTTTTGACACTTTGGCAGGGTACCCTGATGGGTCACTCCATTTAATTAAACATACCCTTTTAATGACTTTATACAGACTATTGCTACCGGCAACCATTTCATTTTAGATATAAATATTACCACATTTATACAAAGTGCCAATTTATGTTATGACAAATTAATTAAAGGGTCCTTAAGGACATAGAATTTACCCAAGGAACACAAACAGCGCCCATTTCCAAGGAACGACAGGAAGACGAAAGCACTTAGGATTCTCCTTTAAAAGCCGTACTGTATCATACTGTATCAGTTGCGTTGAAAAGTTTAGCAATATGAGAGGTTCAGAGAGTATTGATGTTGAATCGGCTTCTGAACAAAATACCGTCATACCCGTTCCTGAAAAACGAAAGAAGCGTGCGAGATGCGTGTCGATAATATTATGTACAATTACAGCTATACTTCTAGTCGCCTTCTGTGTCGTCAATCGAAATGTGGACGAGTACTACCGTGGTCCAACACAGAAAAATACAACAAATATTTGCTACAGAAAGGAGGAAAAGTTAACCTTTTCCGGCTTGTTCACCACCGCGTTGGGTTTATTTGGTGTCGTACTCGGCACGTTGGTCGACCGCTTGTCGCTTATTGCCGAAGAACGCCATCACCGAAAACAACGCTACGACGGAAGTCGTAAAAAGATGATCAAAGCTTGCTTCAGTGGAATCTCATGGGGTCCAGTAATCGCTTTGCTTGGTTTGGCCGCTATAATTCTCGTTATTCTTATTTTCGTAACGGGTAAGCCGTGGCTTGAGTTAAGCTATCTTGTGTATATTTTCAGCGGAATCGGCGTGGGTCCACTTGTGATGCACTTGCTGAGTCTCAACACACAGTCCGAGGTTCATATTTCTACAATACTTGAGGAAAAAGAGACTTATGTCGCCAACGGACTTGCGTGGTCGTATTACTTCAACTACCTCGATATAGCTTTGCCGAAATTCAACGAAATAATCCTCAATAACAGTTGCAATTCAGTAGAATTAAAAGACGGAAAAGTAGTAAAACTAAGTTCAAGTAAATTGATCTTGCTCCTATCACACGATTGTACAACAGCAGATAATCTGGCAGAACTGGATGATAAGATCATAAAACAAGGAGAAATTTCTAACGACAACTACATATTTCCTGTTTATCAATTAACATACAACAACCGCGCATACACATACGTCATAATATACGTGATGCAACCCTTAGAAACTTTAGAGAAGATGAGTCAATATGGACGCATCAAGGCACTGGATGGGAAACAACTTGAGTACCAAGTTAAACTTCTCTGTAGAACACTGTCTGAGATTCTACAAAAACCGTTCAATAAAGAATGTAAAGAGAAGTGCATTCTCGTAGCAATGAAGGCAAATTCTAAAGAAAGTCTAAATAATGGAGGGCTAGTTAATGTCATAATGCAAGAAGTCCAAGCAGTTGAATCTGGCACACTCGAGCATGTGGATGGGTTCGTACAAGTTCCCCCATGTCAGAAAACAAAACAACCAAAGACGATAAAAGATAACACAAGGAATAAAAGCAAAAAATCTGACATCAAGTTACAGCTAATAAAGAATATTGAAGAGAATATTGATACTCCGTGCACTGATCAGCGCAAAGCCAGTAAAGTTAGTCAACAAGAGGTGGGAGACGGGAATGGCGCCAGTACGTCAGGAACCAATCTAGAAATGGTGGTCATTGCAAATCAACAAAGTAAACAGCAAGATGACCATTCTTCAAATACCACGCACGACCAGACAAACACTGCAGCACTGTAGATAGTCGATGCATTATATTTTAACACTTTATGCCAAAAACGAGTATAGTCACAAGACAAACCAAACACGGTACAACAAATGGATTCAAAATAAAGGACAAATAATATTTAGCATAGATCACAATATTTAGGTGTAGTTTAGCAATTAATGTTTAGTTTTCCCCAACACTATACACAAAGGCCACAAGTTTATCAGCTATTTTGCTGTCAGTGTTACCGTCTTAAATATGGCAGTCTTATTAACACTAGTGTTTGTAGCTTAAATACAGGGTGTATAAAAAAAACTGAACAGATTTGAAATTGCTCTCAATTTCGCAACTGACACCTATTTGTATCCGGTGTTTTATATATATAGCTTCTTTGGGTACTTATAATGTAGAATAATGAAAAAAATTTCTTGAACTCAAATTTTGTGAACCAGGGGGGGGGGAGGGTGTCTTTTCCAACAAACTAAGAATGGCTCGCGCACAAAATTTAAAAGTTGTAATCATATTTTGAGTTAATAGATGGAAAATTTGTCGGGTTTTTAATTACTGTCCGATTTTCATCAAATTTTCACCAAATGTTCTCCAGTGCATGTAAAATATGGTAAAGTTGTAAAATTAACAAACAATAAAATAATGTAAGAATTATTCAGGAAAATCTTAAATCGCAGTACCGTTACGCTTTTGAGTTATGTTCCTGCTGGTTTTAAGTTATATTTATGAAAATATCATTTTTATACAGTAAAATAGTTGTTCTAAAAAATCGTGTTCGGAAATTTTTGTTTATTTCGTCATTCCGCTGATATGGCGATTTATTTGACGACTGCAATATATTTCTGAATCGTTTGAGTGAATTGCTCTTTATTTTTAAAATATCCAAAATTTAAAAAAAGCCAAACACGATTTTGAAGCTGACGTATTTAGCTATGTCCTGTGAAAATTTGAGAAAAATTGGTTAAAACCCGCAGGAGCACAACTCGTTTGAA